GGATCTGGTCAGGACCATAACTAAAAGACTGCTTTAAGGACTTCAGGTAAACTAAAACATCATCGGGAGATATTATAGGGTTATGTATTGAGTTAATTGGACTTAGTTTAAAAGGATAGTCAAAGTATGCTTGGGAGTTAGTGGAATAATTGGATTTAAAAAACCGAGCGAACATGTTAGAAATTGTTTGATTATCACCAGAGACGGTATTTTGATACTTCATGGCTGAAGGAAACCCCCGTACATTTCGCTTGGAGTTTACGAAATCATAAAATGATTTGGGGTTATATATTATACGTCGTTTGATTTTACACAAGTAATCTTTATAACACTTTTTGTTTAATTCAAAGAACGGAAATTTTTATCACAATAAAATATAATAAATTTGTTTGCAACTGCCACCTAACGAAGTGGCGTTAAATTTAATATATTTTCGATCAGCTGTTTAGGGTAAGCCCAACATGTTGGGTTCAGGTAGCGTAAACATTTTCCGCTGAAATGGCGGAAAGTTGCCAACTGTTGAGCTGAGCGGAACTACTCAACTGTGCGTTTCTAAGACAAATAGCCAACGGTTGGGCAACAGCTACGTCTTATAAACGCGCCCAGTGTGCAAGTTTCAACAGCCTTAAAACCTTTGATTCTTTTTGTCGCATTCGCTACCATATAACGAATAAACACAATTTCTTTTTATATAGAAGAAAACCGCAACAACGGAAATTTTTAGCCACTTGAAACTTGCACATTATTGCAATCAAATTGAAAGGGCTTTAAATCTATATACTCAAAAAATTCTGAGAAAATAATTTTGACCTTTGAATGAATATTTTTAGATTTTTTTAGTTTTCTACAGTTTTAAATTTGAAAGAAAATTCTTAAAAATAAATAAATGAACATAAGTGGTAAACAATATCACTTTGAAATGAGGTGCTCTTGATATGACTGCATGTACATTAGGGTGGCCAAAACGTAAGGATTGTAATGTCTACCTAATTTATATTTATTTATTTATTTATTTATTTAGTCTAATAAACTTATAAAAGTTCCTTACAGACTAATAACAAAATTCAGCTTAGTTACTAAATAATAATAGATAAGAACTAGAA